TACCCGTACAAAACAGCTCACCTGTGCGTGCTGAAATGTGCGTATCGTTGTGTCACGCTGAAACGCATTAACGCGCAGTCACTCAGCTAATTAGCACGTCAAAAAGTCCGACCTGACAGGCCTTCAGCCCGAGCCTACAGGCCTTCTTACTCGCCTTGCTACGTGCCTGGTCATTGTGCGTTCCGCAGCTCGTTTTTCGTCTCGGTATATGGCGCATATGAAAAGGTATCGGCATCGTTGAGAGTTCAATGTCGACATAGTGGTTCCACTTGATGAAGCCGTGCCAATTTCTTTGCTTCGCTCATTCGCTCGTGAAATTATAGAGTTTACTTTCACCGTGACATTAAGAGCTTCCGCAGATGCTTCACATTGCAGCCTGAGACGTGCGAACTACGCACGGTGTAGCGAAAGTGAATGTCCTTTCTTTTTGTTCAGCAATGCATTGCGGATGACTTTCCAATCGAAATGTGACGCGTCAGCTTTTGGCTCGAATGTTGTGCGGAGCTGTCACAGCAACCGTCACAACAGTTGGCGGGGACTTGCTTGCGACGTCAATCCGCCCGTTCAGCTTTTGTTCTTGTCATAGCAACCGCCACACCTGCCCGTCTAAAACTGGCAGTGAGTCGGAAAACATGTTATTATCTGCACGGAGTTGGACGCATATCGACCGTGGGTGTGTCGCCCAGGTAGCACAGCCCGGTTCCCGACTTCAAAGGCTGCCGCCAAGCCGCTCCCGGCGTGACCTCAATGCAGACCTGACGCTAACCCGATACCGCGACGTCGTTCGACGCGCCCGTCGCCCGACGCTGCCGATGCTTCCGTTACGTCTGTCAGCCTCGACGCGCCTTCAGAGGCAGACGTGACCGACTTTGTTTCACGCAACTCAGGCGTGCCACATGCGACAGTTTTCGAAAGCTTGAGTGTGTTTCGGAATTGCGTTTTATGATCGTCGTGACAGTTTGTTGAGTTCCATTCCTTTTTGCGTGATGATGTGCAGGTAATTGCCTACGCCTGTGAAGTGATTGAAATTTGTAGGACGTGAAATAAGGTTGAAGTCTGAAGAAGTAGGATATTGTGCCTGTTTAAACTGCGGTTGGCACTTATTCCATTTGCGACTGACTGACGGACAGCAACAACGCCTGATAGCGAACCGTCGTCTTACCCTCACCGTAGTCCGTAGCCCTTGTGATTCTTCATCCTGCTCGGTTCTAACCTTTCGTGACACTGACTGCTGACTGACTCCTGACAAGGAGCCATCACGAGGCGCCGCCGAACCCGTCGATTGTGACCCACACCGGTGCAGCGCGCCCGTCCAACGGTTCGGCGGCCGTCGCTCTCACGACCATTACCCGATAATGGGTCTCCGGTGGGCGGCCGGCGGTGGTGGGCCCTGTGACGGCCCCAGCCCACCGCGACCGCAGCGCCTCGGGGGATTTAGGTCGGAACTGACGGGATGGGGACGATCGCGGACGAACGAGGGGTGCCCAATCGTGATATTGGGTCGAGTGGTGGGTTCGAACTCTGAGCTGTGCCTCTAGCGTTTGTCAAGATGAGCTCGGGGTGGAAGTCAAATGCTGCTGTCTCGCTCTGAGGCATTCACTTATGCAGCAAAGTTGAGGTTCGTCTTGGTGTCAGCTTATGCTGACGACTGCAAGCGACCATCCAGCTACCGGAAGTTTCTCGCCGACCGTACAGACAACCAGTGACGTGTCAGGTGATACTGCAACGCCGCAGAGGGACGCTGTCTTCCGTCCGACAGCACCATTCCTCCGTCCCCCGCGATCTGCTGTCTCGCTGTGCTCCGCCTGTCATTCTTCACTGACTAGACCGCGACTGGTGCTGCACGGAGACTGCTGATCGAATTCAGACCAGCCACACCAAAAACGGATAACCAAGGCCGCGCTCGCCTCTGAGAGACACTCAACCGGTCGCGATCAGCAGCTTGGGGACGCAAGTGAATGCTGGTCAATGGCAAGAATGCGCCATCATCATCGTCGAGAGAAGAAGCGGCATGCCCGTCGCCATAGGGAACCTGGAGTCGCAGATGTTGCTGATTGCTCTCTTCTGCCACACCAAGCCCAGTAACGGTTCGTCTTTTTCTGGGCGGCGACGGAGCGCGTAGATCACGACACGCATCTGTCTAGCTTGGTCACACGGACGGCGGCGCTTATCGATTGCTGGTATCATCGGACCGTTACCCGCAGTGGCTTGCTTGTCATCTCCCCTGTTTCTTAGGTCAGCGCAACTTAACTAGTCTTGTGTACTGATGGTCGTCTTAGAAACAATATGCTTTGATGTAGAGGCGCTCGTCTGACAAGAATATAGCCTCCAGAACCGGGTGCTTGGGGATAGCCTGAGGGCTCAATCACACCCCAAATTGTTCCGTTGAATCACACCCTAAACCTAAACCAGTCTCCTCCACTCTCGATGCTCGGAATTTGATCGCCACTTGAGCCGGCGATTGGCCATGTTGTTGGCGTGAGATGGGAGCCCATCGTGCGGGAATACCGCTTAATGACAGGTGTCGGCGTGATGGTAATGGACGGGATCGGCGTGAAAGTTGACCCGTCTTCAGTCATCTCTCGGAACTCCCGAGTGGATAATGGCAGAGGCGTGATCTGCTCGAGCTGTACATGTGTCTCAGCTCCTCCGTTTGTCTGTGTGGGCGTTTGTTAGTTCTACTTCGCTGTCTTTTTTTCGTCTCACGCATGGCCGTGACTTAGCGAACAGTGGTAATCTGTTACCTCCCATAGCGTTCTAGATCCCATTTCCTTGTCATACCCAACACTTCTCCAACTAGTCCGATAACCCCAGCGTCAAGATTCGACGATGAATGGAACCTCCTGCTCCACAATGATCGGACAGACAGTCGATCGGTCAGCTGGTCACGGAGGAGCCCCATCCCCGCGGCTGGAGCGGGCCGGCGATGGTATCGGGTGCACCCTCCTCGCCCGGGCGCCAGTGGGTGACCGATGAGGTGCCCACGGGGATTGCTGGGGTGATGGGATTGCGGAAGGGTGCGTGGACACCCTGGGCGAGAGTTAACCGCTCCATGGAATCGACGGAGCCCCTGCTGTGAGCGGATAGGAGGCGGCGGTGTATTAACATTCCGCCGCTTTGGAAGGAGAGGAGCGCACTGGGTCATACGTGGGTCGGGAGGCAGAAAGGTCATACGTGGGTCAGGAGGGAGTGGGTCACCGAGGCTGTGAGAATTGTCTGGGCTTATTGGTGAGCTCGGCCGGATCGAGACTGCAGTTTATTGAGAGTTTCAGACATAGCGTCACTGGGGTGGCCGACAGCGAGAAAAAAAAACTCGCTACCTCGGCTACTTTGTTCAGTAGCGCCGCCGACGGTCCATCTTGTCTCGCCTCCAGATATCCTGTCAGGTGCTCCCGATCATACCTGGGTAATCTCAGCGTTTCGATTCAGCTGAGCCGGTCCGCACAGTCGGTCTCGCCCGGGCGTCACCCCATATTTGGTTTGGACCGCATTTGGCGTCGGGAATCTGACTGCATTACCGACCACCTTGTGACGACCAGTCCGCGAGGCCTGTCACGATACCGTTATATCCCATTCGTTCAGAAGCCGAGGTCGAGCCGTGTGAACTCCCGAGAGCGACCCGTGCGAGGCCTTCGGTCCAGTCACGACTATCTCGGGTGGCCTGAAGGTTTCCCTTTCTTTCACCGAGTGGCTGTACTGTCCCTGACGTGGGCTGTCATTGAGCTCGAAAGTATTGTGGACACAGAGGCATGAAGGCTGGTTGGTCTCATAGCGGGTGTCGTTTTAGAGAGCCAATCTCCGTTGAAATGTCGTGTCATGCATGTGTTTTTGGTGGACACGCGTGCCTTCACGGTTAGCGTGTCCGCCAGATAGTGGTGTCAATCGGAACTTGAATCTTCGGAATTCCGATTTTGTCCAATGTCCAATTCGGAATTCGGTTGGACAATGGCCGCAAGCTTTGGACAACTTTGGACAATCGCTTGCTACACCTCAACATTTTTAAAAAGTAGTCGTGTTTAACATTGATTGGCTGTTAGAAAGCTCAGCTTTCGATATGATTAACACTTTTGAGCTTGTAACGGTACATGAAAAGCAAATTAAATAACAGTGTTGAGTGTAAACTATTGCGTAGCTGTCGGACATCTTTGGACAAATGGCTGGCTTGGACATTTTTGGACGGACAATCGACGTAAGCATTGGACATTGGACGGACTTTGGACATACGTTTTCTGAAATTGACACCACTACCGCCAGAGTCTTTGTTGGTATGTGAGGCTGTTTTTGCTTTTGCGCTAGACTGCGGAACATGCGATTGGAGTGTTTCGCTCTAGTGGTTGGAATGTTAGGTGCCACGTTGTTTTCTAATTATTCTCTAGCAACCATATCTGTTCAACATATTCTTCTGAAGGTTAATTAGATCTGTCATTTAGTATTTTGTATGATTTCACGTGAAATTAATGCACGTTCTCATCACTTGCGAACGGCTTTGCCGTCCTAATCCCTGAAGCCGAAGTCGGACTGCGGTGGGAGTAACTCTTCAAACGGATTCCATGTGCTTCTGTTTGGGTTAAGCCTGATTCTTATTGGGCTGTGCTGCCAGAGATGTCGGACAGACTTCTGCAGCCAGCATAGCACGCTCTGCTCTTGCATGTAAATAAACACGCCGAGCGATGACAACCAAGCATAAGTACCGTACCGACGTTGGAACTGCGCGCACCGACTGATGTGGCTGTTCCGCGTACCGTATCGTACTCCGGTTGAGATCCGCCAAAGCATTTGTAGGCTGTTAGCGTTGCACGCTGTCTCTAAGAGTCGTGACCATGCTGGGATTACACTGGTGATTAAGAGAACACTCAATCACAAAAGCAAACAAATCACGTGCTGGTGTCACTAAGAGCCATCAGTCATCACCCCGTGAATCCGCAAGCCATTAGCCCACCCATGCCGTCACCGTGTCCCCATTGACCCCCCTCTAACTGTGCCCCTCTCCGTGCCCTCAGGCGCTCCACGACGAGGTCAAGTCGCACCAGCGGATCGTGTCGGGTGTGTGTCGCCTCTGCGTCCAACTGGCAGAGGAGGGTGGCCGCAGGCGACTGGTGCGCGTGGCAGAGCGACTCGACACCTCCTGGCAGCAGATCTACCTGCGCGCCTACGAGTGGACCTGCCACCTCGAGGGGCTGCTCGAACAGTTCAAACAGGTCAGTTCGCGACACCGGGACTCGACGAAATGGGCAACTTCGGAACGAGTAACGACTCGTTTGCATTCGTAATCGCGAAGCAGGCGGCAGGTGATGATCTTTTCCAAATGATTAGGCTTTCTGAGTTTCTGGAATAAAAGCTACCTGCGATTTACGTAATTCTCTTTTCTGCATGCATGGCCTCTTCTCAGATTTGCAATATAGTGCGCAGTATGCTGGGAGCTTGGCTGCAAGCAGTTTCCTTAGCATTCTTAAGTCGGCTAGTGTTTCTGTATCGGTAACAATGCTCGATCCATTGTCTGAGGTGGTGAGAACCGCAGATAGGATTGAGGACTGGTCCCGGAAGTCGGTATCCAGACGTCTGAGAACTGAGCGGATAGGATTGAGCGCGGCTCTGAAACTAGGCCGAAGGCGTGTCCCTCCCCGGCCGGTCGACATGTGTCTGTCTCGGTATGATGATGGTGGTGGCGGGCGGACGGTCCTAATTGGTTTCTGTGTGAACTGGACTGTGAGAGTGACGGACGCGAACGACAGACAGGACTCGGATAACGCACAGATCCGATCCAGATTCAATGTGTAGAGAGCGGATCAATCAGGTCGGTAGACACATCTGTGTGTGAACGGACAGCGTCGTCTGTTTGGTCTACTTTGTTGATCTCTCTTGATGATGCACTTGTAGGTATTCTCGTCAAGCTCACAAGGTCATGATGTAGCTAGGACTCATCATCTAGCTTCTAGTCGACATCATAAGTCGTGAATTTTCCGTCCGTATCCATCGCTTTACCAACCACTTGGCGTCGGTTTTCAATCAAACGCGAAACGCTTAGCTTACAGTGTAGTTATAATCACCCTATCTATATCTGTCTGTTAGAAATATCTATCTTTATGTGCAGCAGATGACATATGGGTGAAGAAATCCGTTTCACCTTATTGGGCTCGTGGAACCTTCTCCACCTGCCTCTCCTTCTCTCCGAAGTGCATTTCCATCGCTCGATCGCTTGCAGACTGGCATCTGGATCGATCTGGAAGTCAAATCATCAGCGCTGTCGTCCTGTTCGCTACCTTGACCTCGTCGAGCTGCCTCTGAAATTAAACGAAGTCGCTCTCTTTCGGCCGCACGGCCGTCCGTGCCACTCTGAGGACCAAGTCGACTGCGTGACGGGGCCACCGCGGTCAAGTCCCGGACGTGATTTGGCATTCAGCAAGACGCCGAGTTATTTCGCGAGGGTGTGACACGCCGCTAGCGATGACGCTTAACCTCTGAACCCTGGAGGAGTTGGGAGTGTCCGCTGTGTGATGAATCGACAGTGGATAAAGGACGATAAACTTGGTGCGTGTTGGTAATCTTTACAGTCGTAGAGTGTGACAAACAGCCTTGCGGTACCGGAAAACATCTGTCCCATCGGTTGACGCGTATTTAGTTCAGCATCAGTCACCATTCCATGAGCAGCAGCCGTGACACCATACCGCTGCCGGTTTTTGTTGGTCGTCTGTGAACAGCGCCGCTGTGCGTCGCCGATTCACATAATTCATGTGGGAACGCTCGGGACTGGCAGCTCGGAGAGCGGGTCGCCGGTACGGCCGGCGGGGCCGGGTCGGGTCATTAGACCCCGGGCCCGGGTCCGTGACACGTGCCGCGCCGGCTGGCACCTGGGTCGTGTTCCGGCCGGCGCTGATCCGCGCGCGCTGATTACGCCCGTGCCGCTTTGTCCAACCTTCTGTCGTGATATGGCGCGGGCCTTTGATCGAGCTCATTGTACGCCATTGACGGCCAGCCACCGTAAAGTTCCCATTAGCTGTGCCCGCGGTGGTGCATAAATCTGCTGCCTCATGCGACACACCAGTTACGGACAATCTCCGGCGCGGTGGACGGACTAACCCGCCGGCTAAATTTGGGGGTTTTGCAAGGGAGTGTATTGTGGCCGCCCCTAAACATGGTGCACGCTTCGCGGGGTAGCTATAAATCCGGGGCTTACATCGCCTTTATTGAAATCTAGTGAGCAGTGGTGCCCCCACCTGTTTCCCGGGGTCAGATTGATGGCCAAACGCAACCAGTGCACTGCGTAGACAAACAGAGGGAGAGGGGAGGCCCCGGCGCTGTTCCCCGCGTGTTTCCCTTGAACCACCGGCTGCCAGCGCGCACAGATGGGGTAAATTGTGACGGATTGTAACCGGATGAAGACAGATGGATCGTGGAGGGACGGGCGCCCTCACCGCCCCTCGGTGGCCCGTCTCAAGTGGCCAGCGATGAGGGTTGCCTCAATTGTGCCCACGTCATCGTCGGGGGGTGCGTACCAAGTGGCCTCGACCCTCTGCATTGTACGTTGACCACCCCTCTCTGCTTTAAACGGCCACTTTTTACTATTTTTCTATAGAAATATGGCGCGCTCATTGATTTTTCAGTACCTTCTATTTTTCGTTGATTCTTCCGATCTTTGGTACCGATTATCGTGTTGTTTCCGTGGCCGTCGCTGTACCCTGCCACAGAGTGTAACTATGCACGATCGCGGGTTAGACTCCATCCCTGAGCGGCACCGGCCGCCCGAGGCCCACTCCACAGCCCGTGGTCGTCTCGCGGCCCTGTTACAATCAGGTCAGAGCACTCTGCTGCGTCCAGTAATGAAGGCCCCGACTCCCGGCGGGCGGCGCGGAATGGGTTGCGTGCTGCGACCACTGCGGAGCTGCCGCCAGCGTTGGCGGGTCCGCAGGTGGTGCTGACGCAGGCTATCATGCTGGCGGAGGCTGGCGGCGTTGGCAGCTCCAAAAGCTGTCATCAGCGGCCTTTGCGAGCGGCGCGTTAGCCGGGCTGTCGTGTTGGGCGGGCCGGTGAGGTCACGCACCTTTCCGTGCCCCATCATAGTCCGCTCGGAGTCCGCCGGGGCAGTGGGTCAGCACGGTGCCTCGTGAGTGCGCCGTACGTGCTGATGGCGTCACGGTCTTCCTGGTCTTCCTGACGCGGTCTTCCTGGTCTTCCTGGTCTTCCTGGTCGCAGGATCGATCGGCACGCCGTGGGCATGAGCTCGGCGATAGAGAGCTGCGTTTGATGATATCCGAGAGCGAGAAGATGAAAGCCAGATTGATTTGTGCCTGGCCGCGACTCCGTCATTGTGTCAATGTGTCCCACTTTGCGGCCTCGCCTCGGGCATACGCGTAATACGTATGCATTTTGTGGCCGTGATTAGTTGGTTATAGCGGTACTGAGATCATTTCTCTCGTGGTTTATTCAAATGAGTGAATACCGGGCTTTCGTTGGCTGTTTTACGTCTCTCTCACAGTTCTCTGATATCCGTACGTAGCCTGTTTGTTGTGTTATGTAGGCTGTTCTGCTACTTCGCGCTTTAAGCCTGCGTGCTCGTTTTACCAGTTTGTCATGGTTTTAAAGCCGTTTTGTCCTTGTGCTTTGCGTTTAAGTCCCTTACTTTCTCAGATTTCACGGATGTGGTAGAAGTTGGCCTCGTTCGACGCTTTCCTGATGTGCTGACTTGGCATTGAATCTACGAAAGCATTGAGCCCTTGCTGTAACACTCTTCCTTTTGTCCAGTTGGCGAAAAATAAATGCAAATGAATAATTCCTCTTTCGTTTATGTATCACTTTTTTGCTTAAACGAGCCATTACTTGCACATAATGTATGGGTGAAGCCTTATTTATTTGGCAATAGATGTGAAAAATTGTCACGGCTCTGTCGGCCCATCAGCGCTAAAATAGTAGTCATGACTTGCGCCCTTCAGGCGGTTCATATTCAGGGACCTCCCTCACTGGTGACCTCGTGGCTCCACCGACACTACTGGCTCCTCCTGGGAAAGGTCACCGCTGCCCTCTGGCCAGAGCTGCGGTCGATCAGCTCCATGACCTCTACGCTCTGCAACATTGTCATGACCTCCGTCCTTAACCCTACTGATGCATGCTTCCGCTGTGTTTGGGCGTTTCCATTCCATAATTTCCTGTTCACACCATCGGTCAGGCGCCAGTGAAGGCGCGACTCGACTGGCTGTGCGTTATGCGTGCTCCACACGCACTCTCTGACCACTAACGATCGAAAAACGAGTCCGTAACGAGCTACCTTCGGCGCATTCGAGTACGTGAGCTAACCACGTGAGCTTACCTATGGTGACTGACTGGCTGCACGGGCATGGTTACGTTTGGATATTGTGTTTAGAGCACAGTGGAGGCTGGATTTGAAGGATAAAAAGTTGATCCTCATTGAATCTTTTGGGATTATCCTGGAGGAGTGCACTGTGAGTCAGTGGATGCACGTCTTGAACATGACTGGGAACTGCTCGGACCTCAGAATTGCTGTCTGGTCCGTAGTTGTTAACGAATAGTTGTCCGTAGTCTGGTCCGTAGTTGTTAACGAATAGCCGCACCCGCGAGGGCTGTTCGCCTGTTGCGGGCGGGTGGGAAGGTCAAGGAGGCCCGCCGTGCGCGTCTCGTTACTCCAAGGTCAAACGGTGGAGCCGGTCGTAAACCCAGCCTCGATGTAACGCCTGTCACCCGTAGCCCGCGGACGAACTCGTTTTCTGACGCTCCTGGGGTGTTTGACGGATGTCAATCGAGATTCAAAGCAGTTGGGGCTGAAATGGATGTTGAGAATTTGCATGTAAATAGGGCAGAGATGACCTTGTGTTGGGTAGGATCAGGGTTTATAGGAAATCTATGGAGATGTTTCTGGTACGCCTGACAGTCCAAGCGATCTGCTTTTCAAAAAAGTATCTACGCAGTATTCTTTCCTTTGAGGTTTTCAGTATTCTTACCTCAATGAGTGCGTTAATTATCCCATTTAAAGGTGCAGCTTTTATAGCTTTTCTATCCCGCTTAACGATAACACAGTATCCCCGCGTACCACGGGAACAAAAGGTTCGAAACTCTGTGTGCCTTTTGACGGGTGACGGGGCTTCAAAGCGGGACGATCTAATCAGGAGTCGTTAATGCGCCTCCTTTGATACTGGCACCGTGTGTTGTCCATACGACCGCAGGAAAGCGCCAATGAGGTCAAACGGTG